ATATGGCTGGAAAGAAGACATTCTGAACTTTAATTTCGAGTGCTTAAAGTCCTAATTTGATTAAGAGAAGCCCTAGTTGTAAGCCCTTGAAGTTGCTGGTCATGCTGACCTCAGGATGAGCTATTGTTTTTGGTTGGAAGCTTGGTCATGGTGAGCTAGGCATGAGCTATTGAGCTTGTTGGAAGCTTGGTCATGGTGACATGAAGATGTGCTAGGGCTGCTGGTGGGATCTATTGGTGAAGTGCATCAACCATTTCAGATTTTATAAAATAAGTGTTGTATGCATTAGCCATATTGAATTCAGATTTTCACTTCTCCTAGGCCTATAAATAGGGAAGTTCTCTAAGCTTGTAATCACACCCCAAGGGGGGGAGCTCTCAAACACTTCTCTGGAGCTCCCTTCCCTTCTCTCCCTCAAATTCTCTTAGTTTCATTTTCTAGTTTTCAATTGTTATAATGAGATCTTTTTGCTGAAATTTTCTCTTTAAGTCTTTCCAAGTTCTACTTTAATTTTCATTGTTATGTAAATTCTTTTCTTTAGTTTCAAGTTTGATTAGTTTCCAAGTTTCAATTATGGTTCATGTTCTTATTCATTATTCTTATAAGTTAATATGCTAGTTTGAATGATTGATCACCATTTAGGCTTGCATGTTAGCTATCTTGGTTTGAATTAAGAGTATACACCATGCTTTAATTCGAATTGAACTATGAATAAGAAGAGTATGTATGGACATTCGACAACAGGGATTAGATACATGCTTGGTTGTTTAAATTGTTCTTCTATGCTTAATGGGTTCCTAATGCTTAGTTTTAGGTTAGACAACAAATGATCAAATTAGGGAATTAGGAACACAAGGTTATGACCAAACACCATGGCTTAATCATACTTTAGCTAGAATCAATCCGTTAATCTAATTGAACTTGGGAACTTATTTGCTTGAGTTATTTCCTTTTTCTTGTTTTATTTATTTTCTTTTTTCATTTCTGTTTTGTGTAGGGAAAATGAATTGGATCATTCAATCACCAATCCTCGTGGGATCGACCTCGCACTTACATATGCTATACTACCAAACGGCTCGTGCACTTGCGAGTATCACAAGTTGAGGATGCAGCTGAATCCATTTTGGTGCAGCTGAATCGACCCAACAGGATCCGGCACCAAGATTGGGGAACCTGCTATTGTGTTTGCTTCGAAAAACACTGCTATGGTTTCTTGGCCTACATGGTCTTGCTTTTTTGCTGTTATGTATCGTCACCTGACTTCTGTAGAAAAAGACAATTGAAGTGTGATCACTGTGGTGAAAAGAGACATACTATCGACACCTGCTGGGCATTACATGTGGTACCAGATTGGGAGAAGGAACGGAGGCATTTAAAAAAGGAACAACTGGGCGGCAAAGCTCATGTGGCTGACGTCACCACTGGGCATGACGACCTTACCTTTACTCTTGCTCTGGCAGTGACCGCGGTCTCAAGCACTCCAACACCTCTTGCACCTATGCCGCATGCCCATGATGCACACGATACACGTTGGATTATTGATTAAGGAGCTACTGACTATATGACATATAATTCTACTTTATTCTCTACTACTGTTCTGCCTCATCTTGATCATGTTCTGACTGCTAATTGTTCACCCATTTTGATTTGTTTCCTGTGATGGTAGGGTAAAGTTCCCCATTAATTCAAAGACCTTGGTTTGGTCAATAAATTAACTTTCTTTATGTGTTGAGCGTGCCACCGTTAGCAATTTTTCAATCCTAATAGACTTTGAGAGTAAGGATAACTTGCGCCCCAAGCTATTGACTCTAAACAAAACGATTGTGAATTTGGGTGAGGAATATCTCCCAAGTAAGTTCTTTTCTATGCCTTAGACAAGTAAGGACTTTATGATTTTTCTCGATATAAAACCGGTAGTTCTGGCCAGAGTAGATGGTAACAGATTGAACTAATTTAAGGCAGAACTCCCCTTTACAAGGCTCAAAAAGGAAAAACTGACTATGCAAAGATAAGAGGAGGGCTGTGCTTCCATTTCTGTCTGGGTAGTTGCCTCTGTTCTGGGCTGGACTGGATGTGTCTATGCTGGATTGGACTCTTAACAGCTTCAACTGCTAGGCTTCAGTTGCAAATCGATACCAAGTTTGAATTTGGCAGAGCTTTAATTCATTTCAAGCCCTGGCAGGCTTTTGGACGGGCAGAACTGGGATTTCTCCGGTCTGAAAGGGATAGAAGTGACTGGACGTGAGCTGGAGGTGTACTGTGGTACCTGTGCTGCTTAGTCAGGGCTCTCCATAAATTTGTTGAGGTTTTCGTATTTGAGAAAAACTCAAACTCTGCTTGTCTTGGCTTTTGCTGAACTAAATTTTTAACGAGAGAAATCTCGTTATTGTTGATTTGTGAACTGGGATTCAAATCAGAAGCAGTATTCTAACTATATTTGCTGAGAAAGGTAGGATGATTCTGCAAGCTTGTTGAAAAAGCTTTTGAATATTGAAATGCTTCAAACTCTGGGTTTGTTGGACTTTGTTTGGAATTCTTGTGATCAAGTGATCATTTTGAGTGTTTGTCTTTTGACTGAGTTTTTGGTTGTGTTGATTGCCCCTTGCTCTGTTCACCCTCTCTCATATATATAAGAAATGTTCTTGAGTGGGAGTTTTGATTCTTTTAATATTGGGCGGCAAATAATCTCAAAAGATCTTTAATTTTTAAAAGA